AACTTAGTTGTTAACACAAACATGTAAAGACTACCGCTACCGTTATCCTCTTAACTGGACTCTTACATCCACTACGGTCCGAACTTAGTTGTTAACACAAACCGGTAAAGACTAGCGCTAAAGTTGTGCTCTTAACTGGACTCCTACATCCACTACGGTCCGAACTTAGTTGTTAACACAAACATGTAAAGACTACCGCTACCGTTATCCTCTTAACTGGACTCCTACATCCACTACGGTCCGAACTTAGTTGTTAACACAAACAGGTACAAATTTAATACAGTTATCCTCTTAACTGGACTCATACATCCACTACGGTCCGAAATTAGTGACATGGATATATATAAAATATTTTGTAACTTTAAAACATATTTTGCTTACACAATTAAATTATATATATAAAATATTTTGTAACTTTATCAATACTTTGAAAAACAAAGTTTAATTTATACTCCGAATTATTTTTAAAAACGATAAATCATTTCTTTTTTACTTTTTTTGAAAGAAAATACTTATAGAATGTTTAGTGCATATGCATCTATATTTAAATTATATTATTTGAAAAAAAATATATCTTTGGTTTAAATTATATTATTTTTAAAAAAATATATCTGAAATGTCGGACTAAATTTTCCCGTCCCGCCTATTCATAAAATGGCGGACTAATTTCACATCCCTCCTTGAAATGTCGGACTAAATTTTCCCGTCCCGCCTATTCATGAAATGGCGGGACTCTTCTAAAAATTCTCGTCCATTACCATTTTCGTCCCTTTCCGCCTTGCCCGGTCTATATAAATACGCAACTATGTTTAGGGTTTTTCCAATCTTCTTTTCCTTATTGCCTGCGAAAACCAAAAAGATCATTATGTTCGATTTTACAGTAATCCTCAAGGATGATCCCAAGTTCAAAGAGCGATTGGTTTGTTTATTATATTTTCTTAATTTTTTTTAAAGTTATATTTTATAACTCACAAATTCATTGGATCTGATGTAGGCACTACCCCAACATGTTCAATTTTGTTTCTCGGATAACACAGTTGTGACTCTCCATTCCAAACTAGCGCCACACACTTTTGCAGTAAAGGTTCAAGCATGCAGCCATGGCAATATGTTCTTCAAGGAATCATGGTCAGCGTTTGTTGAGAGTCATGGCCTAAATGAGAGTCATGTCCTGTTTTTTCAAAATTTAGGTGATTGTGATTTTCTCATCCATATCCTGAAATACGCATAAGGGTATTTTCATGCGTATTTGAAATTTTATTTTATGTATTATTAAATAAAAACTTTTTATATTGAAAATCATAATTTCACTTCGCACCATAATTTCCTCTCACTGCTCTTTGAATTATAAACTTTCATTATTCATTGAAAGTAACGTAATTTATAAAACAAGAATTCTTTTTTAGTGCGTAATAGTACCATTCGAATTGTGGTCAAATACTCATCGAGAAGGTCGAATTAAAAACAGTTATAAAAACAGAATTTATTAACTACGAATTTTGAATTATTATTTTTATCCTTAACGAGAGAAATAAAAGCTGATTTGACAACTGAGATAATAATAATAATAATAATAATAATAATAATAATAATAATAATAAAAGTTGATTTAAGTGTGAGCGGTTTGCATTCAATTCGGGTAGATGAAGAGCGGTCAAATCAGCTTTTATTACTCTCGGGGATTTATAAGATTTCAGGAAGTTAAATGAGATGTAATTTTTTACTCAAAAAAAAAATGAGATGTAATTTCGTCCATTAATAATAATGATGATGATGATAATGACAATAATAATAATAATAATAATAATAATAATAATAATAATAATAATAATAATAATAATAATAACGAGAGTAATAAAAGCTGATTTGACCGCTCTTCATCTACCCGAATTGAATGCAAACCGCTCACACTTATCTTCTTCCATTATATTTATTAACTAATTACTGGGAAAAGTCCATCCGAAATGTGGTCAAATATTAGTCGGGATAGTCGAAGTCATTCTTTTTGGATATTTGTTGATCTCAACGGCCCTCTCTATTATTATTATTATTATTATTATCATCATTGTCATTATCATCATTATTATTAATGGACGAAATTAGATCTCATTTAACTTCCTGAAATCTTAGAAATTAACGAGAGAAATAAAAGCTGATTTGACCGCTCTTCATCTACCCGAATTGAATGCAAACTTCTCACACTTATCTTCTTCCATTTTATTTATTAACTAATTACTGCGAAAAACCCATCCGAAATGTGGTCAAATATTAGTCGGGACAGTCGAAGTAATTTATTTTGGATATTTGTTGATCTCAGTTGTCCTCTCTATTATTATTATTATTATTATTATTATTATTATTATTATTATTATTATTATTATTAATATTATTGTCATTATCATCATCATCATTATTATTAATGGACGAAATTACATCTCATTTAACTTCCTGAAATCTTAGAAATTAACGAGAGTACTAAAAGCTGATTTGACCGCTCTTCATCTACCCGAATTGAATGCAAACCGCTCACACTTATCCTCATTCACCCTATAAATACATTGCACCCTCTCCAGATTTTAAATACACTTTCTTCAATGTATTCCATATTACAAGCCTATTTCTTTACAATCATCAAAACTTCTCACTTCTCTTTCGTAATGGTTTTACTCAATTTTGTAAAACGGTCTTAATGGTTATCTCGATAAGGCAAAATGGTCATAATGGTTATCTCGTATACCATTATCCGTTTTATCTCGTGTTTTCCACAAGGAAACAACCCATCTTTACTACTGCAACATTGATTCAAACGAAGAGTACGTAATTCCTGCTAGCAGTGTAGCAGCTTGTGTAGAGACCGGGGAAGAGATAAAAAAGAAACTACTCAAGTATCGATCCGAGCTAATTTCATTGAATTATTGAATTTTATGTAATTTTAGTTATTCGTCTTTACATGCAACTCCATTCAATTCCATGCAATCATGTGATCCATGTAATAAGGATAATAAAGTCCATCCGAAATGTGGTCAAATATTAGTCGGGACAGTCGAAGTCATTCATTTTGGATATTTGTTGATCTCAACGGCCCTCTCTAAAAATAGATTAAAGTGCATTGGATGGTGTGCAAAAATGAAAGTGGATAAAATAGTAATCCCGTAATATTAGTTACTCGTGTTTACATGCAACTCCATGCAATCATATGTATCCACCACATAATTAATAATACTGTTAATAATATATGTTATTCCATGAAATCATATGCATCCAGTACAATTTTATTAATATTATATTTATCCACCACAGAATTTATTTTTTGTTTCTACAATGGTACTCCTTGCATATGTAGTAAGCAATTTCTAAACGCATGTTGGCCATCTTTTCTTTTGTCATATTCTCCAAAGATTTAAAATCCTGATGTTGTGCTCCCAACTCTAACATTTTTACCGCGAAGATGCCGCAGTCACAATCAATCTGTTGGGGTACTGTGCAGTATTCAANAGTACAATTTTATTAATATTATATTTATCCACCACAGAATTTATTTTTTGTTTCTACAATGGTACTCCTTGCATATGTAGTAAGCAATTTCTAAACGCATGTTGGCCATCTTTTCTTTTGTCATATTCTCCAAAGATTTAAAATCCTGATGTTGTGCTCCCAACTCTAACATTTTTACCGCGAAGATGCCGCAGTCACAATCAATCTGTTGGGGTACTGTGCAGTATTCAAATTCCCAATCGGCATATCCGTGCTTGCCGATTTCTCTAATTCCAGCAATGCCTTTAAACCCCATAAGATCATCCTTCAGCAAACCAGCCATCCTCTCAATTGAAATTATCCTCCTAAGGGAGTCAAGCACGACGAGGCGGCACCTCTCAAAGTCAGCCTTGATACAGAACCAATGTGACTCCGTGCCTTTCAAATAATATACGTACTTAGTGTTCTTATTCCAGGCTTTGGTTTTAAATGCTTCTGGCCCCTCGCTGTATGTACCATCCACAATCTTTTCAAGGGGTCCAGACAAAACAGGCCACTCTGGGTCAGTCGCATAAGAGTTCACGTAATTGTTGAATTCAAGAGGCGCAATGCATGAGTCTCCATCGTCATTGCATAAACGTCTTCTAAGGACGTAAAGGTACTCACTCAGATGCTAGTTAACAAACAAAAGTAATATGTTATTAGAAAACGAAAGATATAAGCATTGTTTGTGTACGAAGAATGAAAGGTTAATGCAACTTACAGTATCTGCTACAAAAAAATCTGGAGTGATAAGGTCAGTCCAGAACGTTTTCACAAAATCCTGAATCTCCTTGTGTTGGGCGAGGTAGCATTGTACAGGGCGGTCATCTTTAATTGCTTTTACGATGAATCTCTTAAATTCCAAAAGATCTGCTTTAGTTGGCGGCTTAGATAAGAGCTCATCGGCTTTCTTTTTCTTCCTCCCGTCCGCTGTATAAGGAGACTTCAAACTGGCTGACTTCTTTTTCACTCTCTAAAATAAAAAAATAAGTGAATTACTTCGGAATCTTAGACCACAATAAAAAAGCACTTGAAGTAAGAAACCAAACCTTTCCATACACAATTCCATCAGTAATTTCAGCCTCTTCTCCCAATTCCTTCGGGGGAGAAACAACCTACAGTTAAATAGAATGTAAATAAACATGATCTAAATACTTCGAAGAACAAGACTGCATTTCGACTGCAAAGAATCCAGAATTTACCTTGTCCTGCTGAGTTTTCATAGAAGCAGCATCGTCTGTTTCCATGACCTCATGGCTAGGCTCAACCTACAGAGAATTCGAATACATTTGAAAACTTAGACTGCATTTCGAAGGCACTTGTAGGAAAGTTTTTAATTTTACCATTTCATGCAGAGGCTTCAGAGGTTTCATAGAAGCAGCAGCAGCGTCTGTTTCCATGATCTCATGGCTAGGCTCAACCTACAGAGAATTCGAATACATTTGAAAACTTCGACTGCATTTCGAAGGCACTTGCATTGTAAGTTAAGATTAGAAATTACCTTCCTGTTCTCCAAACTAAGAACAGAATCAGAAAGAGTTGAAGGTTGATTTTCGTGCTCTTGTTCAATTTCCCCAACAATTTGGAGAATACCAAGTATTGGACAATTTGGAGAAATCTATAGAATATGAAGTATGAAAATGATGAGAAAGAAGAATGAAATGATATTTTTATTTCACTTAACATATGCAAACAAATGAAATAACTCTATTAAACCCCAAACCTTATGGTCAGGGGAAGGATTTCGTGCCTCAGTCTCCTCACAATCACCCATGATTGTCGTCTCTGGCACCTGAACGTTAACAGATCTTACAAATGTTAAACTGAACAAAACGTTTCGACTACATTCGAGGTATTCGACTATACTTCGACGTACCTCCTGCGGATTCTTGGTTGGTTCTTCTCCTGATTCAGTTACATTCACCTTCATATTTTTATATAAGAATAGCTCAGTTCTGATCAATTAAAATTATTGGATGACTTTCAAAAGCTTTCATCATACCTTATTCACAATCTTTTGATTTATTAAAGTTGACAAAGCATCAACTTTTTTTTCAAGCACTTCAAACCTCTTTCTTTGTTCTTCTGCAATGTTATCAATTTTCTTTGACATTCGATCAAAGAGTTCTTGAAAGGTATTGGATGAAGGCTTGGCGGGGTGAGGGTTAGGAGACGATGGATTTGGGATGTTGGAATGGGAGACTCTAGAAGGAGATTCCCTAAGGCTCTGACTCCTCTGAGATTCTTGGGGAGAGGAGATGTGCT